AAAAAGCATGTGTTGAGATGGTTGAGGTATTTACACCTATACCTCAACAGAAGACAACACGGGTTGTGACCATGCAAAGCAGTGACGATGACTTCATCAACCCCCCAAATAATCCTGACAGTGAGGAAACATTAAAGCGTACAAGGGATGAAGACAATGAACAGACCCCAAAAAGAATGAAGAAGAAAAAGGTTGGTGTACTAAAATTTTTTTATTTTTTTTGTGTATTCAATGATGGATAATTTGATCTAATTATATTATTTTCCTCACTGGAGAAGCTTGTGAAAAAAAGATATGTGAGGTCCAACACTGACGATGACCTCGTGAACCCCCCAAATAATCCTGCAGCTGACGAAACATCAAAGCGTAGTAGGGATGAAGACAATGAACAGATGACAAGAGGAAGGAAAAAGATGAAAAAGGTTAATGTACTAAACATCTTTTTACATTTGTGAACGATTAACTCTGGTTGTCTGGATTCTGCAATATGCACTCTACTTTAAACTCCTCGATTCACTTGAGTGAAACGAGATTCACTGCAGTGAATCGAGATTCACTGCAGTGAATCGAGATTCACTAGAGTGAATCGCGATTCATTGGATGTATCTCTATTCACTCAAGTGAATAGCTACTTAGTGGAGTCAATTTGTATTCACTCAAACATAGAGAATCTCGATTCACTAATGTGAATCCTGATATTCACAAGAACATTTTTTGTTATTAACTGATGGATAATTTTGTACTAATTTTCTTTTTTTGTCACTGCAGAAGTTTTTGAAAAAAAAAATGAGAGTTCTGAACCTAAGGAGTTGACTAGGATACGGGTCTCTCCAAAGATATTCTCTGATATGGTTTTATCACTCTCTGACTCCCAAAAAGAATGGGTGAGACTAGCTGGACTTGGAGGTCTTTTACAATTTGGATTAAAGGAATTGCCACATATGTTGGGGTACCAGATTCTGCAGTTCTTTGACGGTGAATCCGTTGCGCTTAATCTTCCCAGAGGATCAATCAGTATCACAGAGGAAGATGTACATCAAGTGATGGGACTACCTCTAGGCAGGAAGCGTATACCAGCTTCCAGTACTGGCAAGTCAGCATTGGTGGATGAATGGAGGGGTCAATTCACAGACAGATTTGGTTGAAAAATTACTCCAGGGGCTGTGTCTGACAAACTAAAGCACAGTTCTGATGTTAACCTGTTTTTTAAACTGAATTTCTTGGTTCTCTTGCACAACAGCATTATCCAATCGCTTAGTTGGTTGGAAAATTACTCCAGGGGCTGTGTCTGAGAAACTGAAGCACAGTTCTGATGTTAACCTGTTTTTTAAACTGAATTTCTTGGTTCTCTTGCACAACAGCATGATCCAATCGCTTAGCAATCCGTATGTCAACCAACGGATTCTAGTACTTGGTGATAATGTTGATCAGTGCTCTCAATACAATTGGTGTTCTTTATTACTTGACTCAATGATAGATAGCCAACACAAGTGGAAGGTTGACCCGACAAAACAATTCTACACGGGTCCTCTTGCATTCTTGATTGTAAGCCACTTGTATACTATTGATTTATTTTTACATTACTATAGTTAAAGTAGTTTTACTTGATGATTACTAATTGATGTGCTTTATTTCTTATCTCCATCTTTCTAGCTGTTCTATGCCGATCGGGTTCTGTTCAAAGGTAGGAGGTTGGTTGAGAGAACAACCCCTACATTTTTAGGATGGACTGACTTCGCCTTGAAGGAAAGACAGTCAGAGGAAACACTTGTATAATATTGATTTATTTTTACATTACTGTAGTTAAAGTAGTTTTACTTGATGATTACTAATTGATGTGCTTTATTTCTTATCTCCGTCTTTCTAGCTGTTCTATGCCGATCGGGTTCTGTTCAAAGGTAGGAGGTTGGTTGAGAGAACAACCCCTACATTTTTAGGATGGACTGACTTCGCCTTGAAGGAAAGACAGTCAGAGGAAATAAGTACAAATTCATTTGGCAAAGGTGCATTTACAGAGAGGGTTGAACTTCCAGATTCATCTCGAATGCAGAGTGCTACTGGAAACTCTCCTAAAAGTGTTGATACAATTAGAAAGGTTAGCAAATTAAGTTGCAATACTTTGTTTATTCAATTTAATCTCGATTAAGTAGGAGTGAATCTCGATTCATTTAAACTGAATGTCGATTAAGATACATTGAATGTAATCTGGATTCACTACTACTGAATCTTGATTCACTACTATTGAAATGAATCTGGATCTATCGAATCTTGTCTATCGCCATGTTAATAATTTATGGTGACCAATGTCTGTGATATTCAAAATGCAGGATTGTATTGAGAGGGTTCAACGGAGAGCTGCAGAGCTTGAATCTGCAAAAAATAGATTTGATGCTGAGTGTGAGACAATGAGAAAGTTGTTCCCCAATGACAATGAGCTCTTTCATATTCAACAGAGAGTTTCAAATGTACTTGTGCAGGGGTGGGGACATCGTGTAAGTACCTGTGACGATGAAACAGCTGTGGGAAACATTGTTGATGATACCCCTAATGTGAACACCAAGGTGAGTAGAGATATGCATGGTTCCCCTGTTGTTGATCCAATATCAGGTGAGATACCACAAACACAAGTCTCCCCAAATTTTATTCAAGAAGTTGATAAGATTATAGAGTCTGTTAGCATGAAAAAGGATGACAGACCAGTGAGACGGAAGATCAGCGAATGTAGTACCCCACAGACTGAAGAACCTAGTTTTTCTCTTGGGCTGACACAAGATACTCAGACTGAATCAGTGGAAATGGTTGATGTTGTTCAGATTGCTAAAGCTTGTGAATCTGAAATCATTAATGAATCTGTATAAAGAACTGATAAACAATCTGAAGATGCTGCTGCAGTTAATGAATGTAAAGGTAAGAAAGTTCAGGTGGCCGAAAATAAGGGACATGCGGGAAGGGGGAAAGAAAAGAGGATGGTAAAGCCTGCAACGTCTCTTCGGTCACCATGGGTGCAGAGGGTATCTCAGATTACTGCTAGGCAAAGTCAGCTGGAAAGCATCATATGGGATTGGGTCCATAGAGAAATAAGGCATTCAGGTGATGATTCCGCTGAAGAAGAGAATTTGTAAGTTCTGAACACTTATTTGATATTTTATTATTAGGTGTGAGACTCGCTATTGTTGCTATTTTTTCAGTGAAATGGTATTTTGTCCCTTTATTAAATTGAATATTGTTATTGTTTTTTCAGTGAAATAGTTTTTAAGTGGAGACAAATTGAATGTTTCTTACCTGCTTTCAAGACTTTCCTTCCTGCTGAGGACATTGAGGCAAATTTAATCAGCATTTGGTCCTATATTTTGAACAGCAGAGAAAAAATGAAGTCCGAAAATTCTCCACTTAGATTCTTCTGCAATGTTGAGACAACCGTACGTATCTTCCTTTATTTTATTTAAAATAACACTTGAGTAACATATTATTTAACCAGTTTTATGTTGTACAGTTTTGCAACATTCATCACACAGATGAGGTCAATGATGAATTGAGATACAGTCGGTTTGCTTCACGGATGGATGAGCAACTTGCTCTGTATCCACATATGAAGTTTAATGAGATTGATATGGTAAAGATTCGAAGACAATGTTTTTATTCTTTAGCCCAATTTTAACTATATCTGTAAAATCTCTGATTAAATTTCACAACCATTAGGTCTTCTTTCCCATAAATGCGTTTGAGCATTTCTACATTGTATGCTATGGGCTAAAGAATCCAAGTATGGAGCTGATTGACAATAGCAAAAACTGCCCAGACTACAAGGAAAAATACCAAGGTCGTCCTGATGGTTTGGTATGTTTTTTCCACCTTACGTATGTTCTTTAAACATTAACTGGCAAAATACAGTAATAAGTGAATCCAGATTCACTATAGGAATCCAGATTCACTATAGTGAATCCAGATTCACTATAGTGAATCTAGAATTCACTAGAGTCAGATAATTCCAGATTAGCTAACTCTAGTGAATCTCGATCACTATAATTAGTGAA